CCCGGCGGCCTGCCACCAGCGGCTCCATCAGCGTCAGCACCAGGTACTGGGTTTCTGGCTCCAGCCAGCTCCGGTTGATGGCGGGCGTGTGGGCGCCCTCGAGGCCCTGCAGGGAGGCGAGGAAGCTGCCCTGGTTCGTGTAGTTGAGCTTCTTGCTGTGCAGCAGCACGAGGTTGGTGGCGGCGCGGCACTCGAAGATCACGGTGCTGTTGCCCTTGAAGATGTAGAGGCCCTGGTCATTGGGCTCCAGGAAAGGGTGGAGCGTCACCGTGTAGTTCAGCGGCTTCAGCGAGTCGGGCAGCCGCCAGCGGTTCCAGGGTTGTGGGGGCCCGCTGGGGCCTGAGGTGGGTGGCGTGGTGGACGCAGCTCCGGAGGAGGGTGCAGCCCCGGAGGGGGTGGTGCTGGGCACGCTGACGGCAGCCGTGTTGCGGTTCTTCTCCTCCGAGTACACCACGGACAGGGCGATGATGGTGGCCACGGCGCCGATGCCCAACACAATGCCTACGATGCCCAGCGTCTTGCTGATGAAGAACCCTGCGGCCATGGCAGAGCTGGCGTGGGCACAAGCAAGAGGCAGCTGTGGCCCAGGTGCTGGCTTTTATCTGCGGGCTCCGGGCAGGTTTATGAGCCCTGGGTTAATGGGTGAGTAATTAAGCGGCTGGAGGCTGGGGAGCCATCCCCCCTCCACCTGGCAGCAGCACGTGGGCAGCGAGGCCTCGGCGGGCAGCACCTGTTGCAGAGAATAGGCAGGATCAGCTCCTCCCTGCCTCAGTTTACCAGCAGGGCCAAGACGAATTCACCTGTGGCCCTGCTGGTGGGGGGTGGCCCCACTTGACCCATTCCCAACCAAGCTCCTGCAGAGCCCAGCCAGGCAGCAAGGGAGCCAGCCAGAGCGAACGCTCTGGACCAGCCGGGCCGAAGCTCCAGAGGCTGCAGCCCAGGGCCCTGTGCCCGCCCAGGCCGTGGGGCAATTCAGAGCAGCCCCGGCCGTGTCCTGACGGTCTGCGACTTCCCGCAGCTGGAGGCCATTTGGGCTGCGTGGAGGCGGCGCTGGGCAGCTGCTCAGAGCAAACTCCACGCTTCTCCCCGGCACAAGGCCCCTGTCCCAGCCCCCACGTCCCTGGTGCTCCTGGACTTTGCGCCTGGGGCAGCTCCAGCCCCGCACGGGCAGGGAAAGCTGCAGGTCGCTGGGGGCCAGGTGCCAGGGAAGCCCTCCCTGCTCCCAGCCACGTGTGGTGCAGGAGCCACTCCCGGGGCCTACCCCTGGGGCCTGTCCGTGCATGGAGCAGGGCGGGGGATGGCTTTGCACAACAAAGCACCACAAGATCCGGGGGAAATGGCTCCACCAGCCCCTGCTGCTGTCAGGGGAAACGGCCCCCTCCCGGCCATATCCGCAGCCAGGAGCAACCCCAGGTAGGAGGAGGTGGAGGGGCCGTGCCCTGGGCCCCCCGCTCCCCTTCCTGCTTCCCACAGCCACGGTGCCCCCGATACGCACCAAGCTCCTGTCTCTCTCTGCACCAGCTGGCCACCCTCGCTGCACACACGCTCACACGAATGCGCCACAGCCCAGGTGTGCCCAAACCACACCCAAGCAGGCCCAGATGGCCAGAGTGCAGAGCAAACCGTGGGGCACACGCGGCCCCACACCAGAACAAATGCATGCCCAACAGCTCTGTGCACATGCACATGCCTCCTCCCAGCCGCAGGTACACACATGTGCAATCACACACAGGTACACACATCCCTCAGCCACAGGCACACGTGCAAACTTATGTACACGTGCAAACACACATGCGTGCGCACATCTCAGCCATAGGCGCACACCCCTCATAGACACAGGCACACACGCACATGCAAACACACGGGGGCACACACATCCCTCAGCCATAGGCACATAGGTGTGCACACACGCCCCCTCCCACCCACAGGCACCTTGACCACAGAAAGCCATGCTTTCCCCAGACTGCACACGGGCACAGATGCATGCCCCCCCGTGCCCAGGACCCCAGGCACATGCAGCCACCCCAAAGCCAGAGGCACGCACACCAAACACGCCGCCTGTTACCCACCGGAGCTTGGAGCCGGAGCACTGCAGGCGTGTGCCAGGGGCAGCTCTGCCAGGCTGCAGCTGGAGCAGGAGGCTCCCACTCACCTCTGTGTGGTCAGCTCTGGGTGCACTGCTCACAGGTGCCCTGGTCTGAGCTGGGAGTGGCCTCACCTGCTCACGGGTGCTCTGGTCTGGTCTGGAAGCAGCCTCACCGGGAGTGTCGCTGGCTCCGAGAGTGCCTCCGTCGCTGGCTCTGCTGTTCCAGGGAGCTTCCTCTTCTGAGGGCTCCAGGAAAAGTAACCTGAACCCTTAACCCGTCCGTCACCTTAACCCCTAGACTGCTGGCCGGATGCTAGGGCTGGCAGGGCACCACCCTGGGGAAGGTCGCAGCCCTCGAGGCCCAGGCAGGGCGGTAGGCCTGGCACACACATGTGCAGGGCTGCATCACCCAGTCCTGGCTGAGCTGGGCTCCGCTGGTCACCGCTGGGCACTGGACTGACTCGGTGCCCTGGAGCGCGGCCCCTCTGAGCAGGAAAGGCACCGCCCAGGCCTGGCCCGGCCCCCGCAGGCGCCCAACCGCACATCTGGAAGACATTTGTGCAGGGGAGCAAGACGCGAGTGAAACTGCCACCGCCCCAGACGTGCAGTTGTGTTGGCGACAGCATGGCCCGCGGCTCCAGCCCCAGGGCCCAACCCGGAGCCTCGGGACAGGGACACCAGCTCCCCCAGCCCTGCCTGTGCCTGGGGCCCCCGGGACCTTCAGGGCCTCAGCAGCAGGGCTTGTGCTGCACGTCCGTGCCCAGCTCCGCTCTGCCCCAGGCCTGCCAGGACACACGGTCACCGGGCCCTTGGGGACTGGAGCAGCTGCAGGGGATGCTGGAGCAGGCACCCCACCCCTTCGGCCCGGGCCAGCCCTGCCGCCTCTGCTGCAGATGTTGGCCTGGGGGACTGACCAGCTGTGACCTCAGCCTCCCAGCCAAGGGCTCCTCCCAGCCTCGGACCAATCCCTAGGAAGGCTCAGGGCTCTGCCGGGCATTCAAGAGAACCAGCCCTGAAGGGCTTGGAGCGGGACTGGGACGGCAGGATGACGAGCAACTCCTGTCCAGGCGGGGCCATGGTGTGCGGGGCTGGCTCCTGGCATGGGAGCAGGTAGGAGCTGGCCCTCGGGCACAGCCGCACCCTGAAGCCAGGCAAAGACCCAGGCACGGTGGCGCCAGGAGGCTTGCAGAACAAAGCTGGGCCTGGCGCCAGCCCCCAAAGCAGCCACCTGAGAGGGCTGTGGCATGGGGCAAGGCGGCCTGTCCCCTCTGCCACCGGCCCAGAGTGCTCCCTACCCTCTCGCTGGCCAGGGGCCCGGCTCATCGTCACCCGCCAACCCTGCCCCCCGCTGGGAAACTGCCCTACATTACCCCTCCAGAGCCAGCCTGCTATCCATGCAGCTGTCAGAGCAGGGCAGGTGTGAAGCTCTTCCCTGCCAGAGCCCTGGGCAGCCCCACTGCCATGGGGGCCAAAGAGACAGGGACAGCAGGGCTCAGGTCACACAGGGGCGCGGACATGGGGAGACAGCACAGCAGCTGGGTGAAGCCCAAGCCCCTCCACAGGCAGCTGCCACGGCCCACCAGGGCCAAAGGGTTAAAGTTAGGGTTAGGCTGTGCCCCAGCATGGGGCACAGCCTCCTGGACAGCAGGTGCCAACGCATTACTGCCTCCAAACCAGCTGCCAGCCTAGGCCCAGGGAAAGCACCTCCTGCCTGCATGCCGCAGGGGTCCAGGGCATCCAGCTGTGCCTGGGGCATGGCTGGAGGCTCAGTGTGCTTGGGCTGCCCCAAAAACAGCTGGGGCAGCAAAGGGACTGGGTCCCTGAGCAAACCAGAGAAAAAGAAGCAGCTGTCGAGTGAGCGGCAGCACCAGGCACCCAGGCAACGGGGAGCTGGGATCCTGCCTGCCGTCGGACCAGAGGCCTGCAGCCGGCCTGGCCCCCTCCCAGCCTCCAGAGACTGCAGGGGTCTTGTTCTTGGGAGCCGCAGGCCCCAGGACCACTCCAGGTGCAGCCTCGAGGGACAGGGCTGCACAGGTCCCAGGGAGGAAGACAAGGGCTGTCCCCAGCAGAGCTCAGTGCACAGGGCCCAGCTGGTCCCATGTCCCTGCTCCAAGGCCGGTGCAGCAAGGGTTATTGGTGGCAGGGCTGTGCAGGTGGAGGAGGCAAAGGAGTCCAGATAAATTCCTTCCAGGCAAAGTCATCTCCTGTCTGTGCGGACAAGCAGAGGCAGCACCCACAGACTCCCCGCTGGGCCAGACACGGGTCAGGGTTGGGGACAGGGAAGAGCTGCCAGCACCAGGATGTGTAGCTCTGCACCCCGAGGCCAGGCCTCGGGCATCAGGGTCCCTGGGGCACCAGCAAGGGCAGAGAGAGCCACAGGCTGCTGCCATGGGGAAAGGGCTCAGCTGCTTGGGGACCCTTACACTCCGCAAGGCTGCAGAGGGGGGAGACCGGCAGCTGTGCCCAGCCCAGTATCGCTCCCAGCTCGGGCAGTCCAGGGGTGCAGCCTGGTGTGACTGCCCTGGCAGGCTGGCGCAGGGGGCTGGACCCCCCGCCTTCCTAGAGCCCTGCCAGTGCAGTGGCCGGGCGCTTGGAGCTGGGCCTTCACAGCAGCCCGGGCTGCCAGACGTTCCCCCGCATGGCCCATCCTGTCCTGTCCTGTCTCACAGCAGGGCCCGGGGCCAGGCAGGAAATTGGGGAAGAAAAGCAAGTCAGGCCCCTCCCCTTCAGCTTGTTTATGCTGCTGGAGCCAGGACAAGCAGAGCCAGGAAGGACACAAACAGGCCTGGCCCCTCTGCGGAGGCTGTGGCTCAGCGCAGCGACTCCGCTCCACCTGGCGGGCTGCGCCAGGGGATGGAGCTGGCAGCCCTGGGCAGCATGCCAGCAGGCGAGGGGGGTGGCATGGAGCCTGTGGCCCTGCCCCTCCACCCTGATGCCCCCCAACCTGCCCTGCACTGAGCAGATGACACAGCGCCTGGGGCTGCCCTGCCCCATCCCACCCCCAGGCCAGGAGTGTGAGCACAGGCCAGCCCTGCTCTCCCCACTCTCAGCTCAGTGGCAGCCCCTTGAGTCCCGGCCAAGCGGCCATGTGGGCGGCTGCACCGCAGACTGCCGAGCTAAGGCCAGGGTCAGGGCCCTGTGGGCACCCATGCAGGGCATACAGCAGGAAGATGCAGCGGGTAGGGCAGACCTGCTCTTCCCCATTAGGGGCTGCGGAGAAGCAGTGAGGGGGTTCCCCAGCCTCATCCACCAACCCCCGGCCTGGAGCCCACATCCTGTGGCCTGGAGTCACACGCACACATGCGCAGCAGATCACAACAGCAGCTTTATTGGCTCTCAGCACCCCTGGACAGCTTCCCCCCAGCCTGCCCCCCAAAATACAGAGACCCCGCATGTGGGGGGCCTGGCAAAGGCACCTGCAGGATTCACTCAGCATGGGCCAGCTGAGCCCCTGGCCTAGGCAGCACCTACCCCACCCTGGAGCAGTTGGCCACGCAGCTAGTTCCCCATCACAGGACACCACGGAGATCGGCTCAGCAAGGCCTGTGTCAGGTCCCAGGGTACAAGGCCAGGGGGCAAAGCCGCGCAGGGTGCAGCAGGATGTGTGGCGAGGAGGGCAAGCAGGTCTGTGAGAGCCAAGCCCTGCTAACAAGCAGCAGGAGCGGGGTGCAGGTGGGTGGGAAGGGGCTGCTGGCCACCCTCCCATGGTGGGCAGGGGAGGCTGTGCCTGTAGCAGGGAGGGACCCACCCCTGCAGCATGCAGCAGGCAGGAGCTGGGGGCCACCTACACGCAGCTCCTGTGACTCCCAGACAGTGAAGCTCCACTGGCCCCACGCGCCTGGCAACCCCCCGTGCCTGGCTTCCTGCACCAGCACCCACAGTGGCTGGGGAGCCAGGGTTGGGCCAGGCATGCAACCATGCTCCAGCTCAGCAAGAGAAGTGCCAGCTGCCAGGGGCCAGGCAGGGAGCAGGTGAAGGGCAGGGCCCAAGGCCCCACCAGCTCCTGGGATGGGTGAAGCTGGTCTGCCTCCAGCCACGCTTTAGCGGCAAAGGGTAGGGGGCTGGCACAGCCTGCAGGACGGGGTGGGGGCAACGCTGGCTCTGCTCACGACTCAGCCCCACTGCCCAGGCCGGCTGTCAGTCCCTGTGTGGGCAAGGCCTGGCTCCGGCCTTTGACACGGGCACACATGGGAGCCCTCGTGGGTGCGGGCAAGGGGATGCATCCGGCTCAAACAAAGGGCGACAGGCTGGGCACCTTGATGTTGATGTCGCCAATGTTGATGTTGCGCGGCAGCTCGGGCAGGTTGATGTTCTTCACGGCGGAGACGGCACGGGCGGGCGCGGCTGAGAGGCCGCCCTGCGGGGCAGCCGAAAGCACAGGACTCAGGTGCCACTAACGCGGCCCTGCCCCAGCTCCCAGGGACAAGCGGCCTGGTCACGCGCTGCAGCCAGAAACACCCCCACGCCCAGCACCTGCCCCAGTTGGTCGCATGGCCTTCCCCACAGGCCACTATCGCAGCCAAGGGCACCAGCACTTCCTGGACATGCTATCAGGGCACGCCTCTCTCAAGGCCATGCAGATAAGGAGCCGTGGGGCTGTTCCTGCACCTGAGCCCAGCCCCAGGCACTGGCTCACAGGCCTCGGGGGGGGCTGCGGGAGCTGCCTGCCCCCAGTTGTGTGGGGCCCCTGGGGCATTCACTCCTGTCAGCCCACAGTGGGTCCAACCTGCAGACCTGTCCCTTCCTCCCACCCCCATCCCTGTGCTGGCCCCCTCCACACCGCACACCTGCGCTGCCTCCTTGCACTGATGGCCTGCCCCCCCTCCCCCCCATGGCTCTGACCAGGGAGGCCACCGCAGCCCCTGCCCCAAAGGCGCTCACCTCAGACTTCTCCAACTTGCTCTGGGCGTTGATCTGTGCCACAATCTCATTCATGTTGGTCTCCAGCACCATGCCACCCATCACCACCTCCTGGAGGATGTAGTGAACCTGGGAGGAACAAGCGAGGGGTGCAGCGTGAGCCCTGGGAAAGCAGAATCTGTGGTGCTGACTCGCAGGGATGAGCCCCCTCACCATAGCCCAGGTGAGCACAGAGCACGGACAGGCCAGCAAAAGGCCCCGTGGCTCCTTGTGAGCCAGCAGTGTGCCCTTGTTGCCAAGAAGGCTAATGGCATCCTGGGCTACACTGGTAGGAGCACTGCCAGCAGATCAAGGGAAGTGATCCTTCCCCTCTATTTGGTACTGGGGTGGCCACATCTGGAGTCCTGCATCCAGTTTTAGCCCCCCACTTTAGAAAGCATGAAGACACATTGGAGAGTCCAGCAGATGACAATGAAAGTGGTTGTGGGGCTGGGGGACAGGACTTGTGAGGAGAGGCTGAGGGAAATGGGCTGATTTAGTGTGGAGAAGAGAAGACCGAGGGGGATTGAATAGCAGCCTTCACCTCCCTGCAGGGGGGCTGCAAAGAGGATGGAGCTGGGCTGTTCTCAGTGGGGGCAGATACAGGACAAGGAGCAATGGGGTCTACTTGCAGCAAGGATGGTTTAGGTTAGATATTAGGAAAAACTCTCTCAGGATGAGGGTAGTAAAGCACTGGAATGGGTTTCCCAGAGAGATGGTGAAGTCTTCATCCTTGGAGGTGTTTAAGACCTGGCCCGACAAAGCCCTTACTAGGATGCTATAGCTGGGGCTGGTCCTGCTTCAAGCAGGGGGTTGGACTAGATGTGACCTCCCGTCTCTTCTAACCCCCATTTTCTATGATTCCATGATTTTTCTGATTCCTCAGCCCCGGGAAGCCCCCAGCCGCCCTCCTGACACGTGCCCTGTGGGGGCCATGCCAAGCTCCAGGCCACTCACCAGACCAGGCAAGGGGCAACTGCTGCAGCCTTGTGACCAGGCCAAATCTCTAACAAGCACATGGGGACACGCCAGGGTGCTCTGCACCAGGTACCTCATGCTGAACCAGCAGGTGGGAGCTGGCATGTCCCAGCAGGCGCAGGGAGCCACCTCCCCACCCCACAGCTGCACAGATGGCGACAGAGGAGCCCCGCGGGGGGGAGGGCTCTGCCAGTTACCCAGAACCCCAAGGGGAGGAGAATACGAGTCTGGGGCCAGCTCGGAAGCCCGGCAAGCCTGGCATGCTCCCATGCGTCGGCTGAGGGCCAGCAGCCTCTCATCAGCTGGGGAAGAAGAGGAACAACTGCTCTACCCTGCTGCACAGAACACCGAGCCACAGCTGCAAACTGCAGCAAAGGAGATTTGGACAGGACCCCCTTGCTACCAGAGCCAGCGGGGAACCCCCCGTCCCACTGGCGAGACTTGCGCTGGGCAAGGCTGGATTACATGCATCCTCCCGCCACAGCACAGGGGCCGAGTCAGGAAGCCCAGGCCAGCGCAGCCCCCAGGCAAGGCAGGGAGGCCCCATGGCCTCAGTCTTGCTTTCCACCAAGAGCAGCCCCATCCCAGCGCAGAAGATGCCAGGAGGCAGCCTGGGGCTTTCCAGGAGGCCCTGGCAAAAGGAACATGAGTTCCTGGGCTGCGCCTGGGCCCAAGTGTGAACATTGTGCCTAGACAGCAGCTTCTCTGTGTCAGCCCAGGTGTAGCGGGCTGCCTGCTAAGTCAGCAGGGTTGCTAGGACCCCATGGAGATAAGGGGTTCATGGCACTGGCTTTATTGCTCTAGAGCCTCATCAGCGATAAATTGCAAAAGTTTTATTGCATAATGAAGTGATTGTACCTGTCAGAGCAATATGATAAAGTGCAGGGCAAAGACTGCAGGCAAAAAGAGAACCCAGGAAGGCCAGAGCCCAGCCTAGGGCCCCCACGGGGGCCCGTCAGCCCTGCCCAGCTCAGACAGCGCAGCACAGGGGCTCTGAGCTCCCTCCGGACGCACTGGAGCCCCCTCCATTCTCTTCTTGCCCAGGGACCCAAAACATTTTAATCTGCTTCTGTCCCTGCCTTATGAGGTCCAGGCAGGGCTGTCAGCCCCCCCGAACCTGGACAGGGTCAGCTCCAGGTTTCTGCGCAGCTCCCCCCTGCAGTCAGTGCCCTGCTGTGGCCCGAGAACATGCTGGCTCTCATTGGGACGCCATTCCGAAAGGGGAGGTGGGGATCTGTACCTGGGCTCCCCCTGGCCGGGGGCCCATCACTAGATCTATGCAGACAGATAAGGCTCAGAGAACAGCTACGATAACGTGTTCCTTCTGCATCTTTCCCAGTGCAATGCAGTACCTGGCAAGTCACAATCTGCTTGTGAAGTCAGCACAAACCCAAGGCGGAAGTAGCCACATGACACCCCAAGGATGCAGGGAGTAGAATCAGCCCGTTAGTGCACACACTAATGAGAGGTCCATCCCCCTGGCCTCCTGCCCTTCCAGTCATCTAGAAATTGCAACTCATGCTAACACCAGCAAGAGCTGGAGGCTGATGGGAAGAGCCTCCAGCTATTCGTGGACCCAGTCCAAGGAGATGCCTCCCGGACTGAGCCAAGTGGGTCTGCGGCATACTGCAGCCGTACCATGTACCCTGCTCCCACCACCTCCCTGCCTCGCAGGCTCGTCCCCACACACGAGGGACCAGGCCTTCAAACGTGGCAGCAGGATAGAGGGGCGGGAATGCCCAGGGCTGAGAGCCAGGTTCATGGGGAAGGGGCAGCAGATCTCAGGGCTGTGCCAGGTAATGGGGACTGTTCATCAGCAGGACAGGCCAAGGGCTAGAAGAGCCCAAGAGGCAGGGGCCAGCAGCCCAGGCCCAGGGGTCAAGCCTGCCCTGCGGCCAGGAGGAACGCAAGGCACGAGGCAGCAGCAGTCCAGGCGGAGGGTGACACCCACCTTGTCCATGTGAAAGATGAGGTCCAGCTCACAGACGTTCTCAAAGCACTTGTCCAGTGTCTCCACAAACACCTGGGCAGGAGGAGAAGGGCAGTCAGGGTGGAATGGCAGCTGCACTGCAGCACAGGCTACTCCACCCACCCCAAGGACCACCAACCCCAGGGACTCAGCACCCTCCACCGTCCTCCCCTAGGCCAGCAGCCCAGAGCACAGCATCGCGCTGGGGGCACAACGGGGTCAGCGCTACTCGAGAAACCTCAGCCCTGCCTCTTTCCCCTCTGCTCAGCCCTGCTCCTCACCTCTGGCTGCTGAAGGCTGGAGGCCACTGGCTGGCAGGACGCTAGGACCAGGGCTCTCTGGGGCCAGCACAGAGCTCTGAGCCTAGGGACAACATGCCCAGTTTGCCCTGCCTAAGCACCAGGGACCTCCCTGAGCTTGTGGCCAGAGCCCCGGACAGACACAGGTCCCTCCTAGCCAGGACAAGTGCTGCTCCAGCCAGAGCTGGGGAGGGCCTCTGGAGGGAACAGGGGCGATGCAGCCAGCCAAGGCCACGGCACCAGGACGGAGCGCTGTGAAGAGGCAGTGTGAAAGGCCAGACGAGGGGCTGCAAGCTCCCAGCATAACAGCGACCCCATGGTGTCTGCAAGCGGAGCCTGATAGGCCTTGGGCTGGGAGCAAACCTGCTGGAGTGATCCCCAAGTGTGATACGGTTCCCTCTCCCGCCCCTGCTCAAGGGCCAGCTGGGAAAGGCAGCTGATTTCCCAGAGAAGGAAAGAACCGCACGTCCCCAGCGAGGGCCGGAAGCTGGGACAAAGGCTGGAACAGCCTGGCTCTGAAGCTTCCCATGCAGCTACTGCAAGCTCAAGGGAGAAGCTAAGTGCTGGTGCCTGGGCTCACAGTCTTGGTCTGGCCCCTTAGAGCTAGTGCTGGTGCCTGGGCTCACTGGTCTGGGGCCGGGCTCGTGGCACCTACCTGAGAAAACTGCAGAAACTTCCTCAGTCTAACAAAGGGTTTTTAAACCTGAAAGCTTGCTTAATTTCCCGCCCCGCCCCGCCCCCCCCTCAACTATTTAGACTGGTCTAATAAAAGATACCAGATTCACCCAAAGAACCTCGTCTGCCTGTCCCCTTAGACCAACACGGCTACAACCTACACCCCTTCCCTGGAAAAGACATTTCACACCAGAGGGCCAGGAACGAGTGTGGGAGCCCAAGCACGCAGTCAGCATCCAGCCACACCTCAATCGACAGCCTTGCCCCATCCCCCGTGAAACAATGGTGGCAACCCTGCCCCATGCCCACCACAGGCTGGGCTGCAGCCACCCGGCACAGCTCCACGGGCCTGCCAGACAGCTGACACCCCACTGCCCAGGTAGCTCCCTCAATAGCAAGTGCAACCAGCCAAGCGCAGAGCTGGGCCTCGTGCCCAGAGCAGCCAACACCCACCACTGGGCTCAGACCCTGTCAGGAAAGCAGGTGTGGGCGCTTGCTGGCTCCATGCCAGGTGGATGGCGAGGAGAGCCGGGGTGGAGCCAGAGGCACGAGGCCCTGAGGGCCACCACATACAGCGGCACAGGTCAGGAGTTGCAATGTGGCACCCTCCTGCCAGGGCAGCACGACATGGGGGGAGTCGGAGAGGCAGGTGGGCAGGCCGGCCTCGCGGGCACCAGAGGGCAGAACTGCTGTCCCCCACCTCGCCCAACTGGATGCAGCAACTTCCCCTTCGGCGAGCATGCAGGAGAAGCCATGGTGCATCCCTATGTGTAAGCGATTCTCAGGGCTGCTAGGGATTGTGGTGGGGGGCACAACTTCCTTGTTGCCTGAGAGCACAGAGCCAGGGCCGGGACAAGTTCTGTTCCTCCCCAAGTGAGCCATTAACCAGAAACGGGTCAGGAAGAGGAGGGCGCAGAGAGCAGAGAGCAAAGAGCTGATGTTACAGCCTGGCTGGGGGAGGGAAAGGTGGGTCTGGGAGCCCTGGAACAGAGCGCGCCCAGCTCCCGCACGCCCCCCCACCTGCCTGTCCCAGCAGGAAGGGAGGAGACAGCCCCTGCCTGGGAGACGGCTCCCGGCAGGGAGGGCCCAGGGCAGGACCCTCCCCCCAGGCCGTATCCACTGGCAGGGAGCCCTGGGAAGAGCCGCACGGCAGCTGGAGGGCGCCTGGACAGCACAGCCATGAAAGCACCCCAGCTGCAGAGCACGGCTGTCTGGGAGGAGAGTACGCCCCGGCCCTGGCGGCTGGAGCCGAGCTACTGAGCAGGGTACGACGGTTCCCCCTGCTCTAGCTGGGAGGCTGCTGACTCTTGAACCCAATGACTGCAAACAGCACGGCCTCCAGTAAAGGGGGCTTGTCTGCAGTGGGCCCGGGAGCAGGACGGCCCCACCCTGCCGCGTGGGAACGCTGCTGCTCCAAGCTGAACAGCACTCTCCGAAGGGGGCGGGAAGCCGGGGTGCAGCAACGGGGCCCCAAGCCCAAGTGCGCTGGTTTCCCCCTCTTCCCAGGGGCAGGTGGGCCACCCTCACCATCTACAAGGGGGATTATCGGCGCTGGAACAAGGCGTGAGAACCAGCAGCGATGAGTCCAGGCAGCGGAGGGAGCCGGGGCCGCGGACAGCAGGGGCTGCACAGG